CAAGCTCCTATTTCTAAGGAGGCAGCCTTGAAAGGCCTTTGGAACATCAAAGGGCTCTCCCTCCCGCAGCAAATCAGTGAAAAATAAGGGAGTCATTTTCCTTTCAAAGGATGGAAACCGTTAAGCAGCCATCTCCATGGCAGAAAAAGCACTTGTGGTTTATTAAAATTAAAAAACAAGAACTAGCTAAAGTTTACAAGGCAGTCAGCAGTGACTTCTGTACCTACTAAGTGCAAAGCAAATTCCTGGGTTTTCCGAGGGTCAAAAGGGTCCCTGCCCTAAAGAGGCTTCAGTGATTGCCGTTTTAGAATAGATTAAAAGCTGATAAATCAAGAAAGATTCTCTTAGAACAAGAAAGAAAAGCAACCCTAAAAACACTACAGTTAATGTGCCCTTGAACATGTCTGGCAAGTGGCATCTCATTCAAGGCTCACAGCAACTGTAATGGAGAGATGTGGCATCTTTCTTCTTCATCCATCATAAATGTCCCAGCTGACACTCAAAACAGGTTAATGAGAGAAAAGCATACATGCACTGAATCAAAGTTTTACATGACACAGAAGCCTTAGGAAATGAAGACCCAAAACTTCAGGGAAAATACTCTTTTTATATCCCTTAATTTGATACAGAATGCATAGGCACGTAGAAGTGTGCCTGGACTCAGAGACTATGACTTAAAGGTAGCAGTAGACTAAAGGGAGAAGCTCGACAAGCTCTGCCCGTTCGGATTCTTGTGGCTTCTCTGAGTGGCACTCCTTCCAGGTGCAGAGCTGGACCCTTTGGGAATGAGGGTTTTATGGCCTCCCATCCTACAGGACAGGCTGGAGAATTGCTTTGTGGTCCATTCTCACACAGAAAGGCAGGGGAAAGATAGAGTAATATATCTAGATTTTATAGCTGGCTTTTGGAGAAAAAAGGGGGTTCTCGTTTCCGTGGCATGTCTTAGAGAAATTCTAGCTTCTGTGGCCTGTCTCTGGGTGGGAGGAGCAGGAGAAAGAAGGGCTGCCTTTGATCTCCCTTCCTTTGGTTCTAAATACTTAGCATGCCGGAGCCTTGTGCTTCAGGTTATACTTTTCTAAATTCCAATTTGTTTTCTTGCTTTAGTGGATAGAGAAAATGAGGCTCAGCAAACTCAGAAAACTTGGAACTGAGAGACGATGGAGAGGAGGGGTCAAGAGCTCTGGATTTGACAGCAGATTCTACTTGTGTAGGTTACTAGGAATGAGAACAGGGGAAGAGCATTAGATTTAGAAACTAGGAGTTGTGGGGGCTGGAGCAGTGTCTTGGTGGAGTGAAATGGGAGGCAGATACTGTGAGAATCATCATACAGAATAAGTCTTCCAAAAACAGCCACAGGGAAGGAGAGGACAGTCACCAGCAGTGCACTGGCTGGTATGTTGGTGGCAGCATGTCCCAGGCTGGAGGAAACCTAGGTAGCTTTGCAGGCTGAGGACAGTGGTTTGAGGAAACAGAGTTTGAAGATGGCAGAAAGAGAATGGATGTTTGAGAAAGACAGGTCCTTCCTGGGGGACATGCAGCTTGAAAGGAGGCAGGCTGAAAAGGACAGATAGAGTGGACAGCTCCTGAGAAAAAGGATGAGAAGAATAAGTCACTGAAATTACAATGGTACCTGAAGTTGGAAGAGGCAAAGTTGATCCAGATATGTTTTGGGCAGGAGAGAAGAGCTGAGAGGACTCAAGGGAGGAGAAATGGCTGACACTGGTACAGTCTATCCAGGAAGTCAAAGAATCGAAGACTAGAGTGGCTGAGTGGGTGGGGGGCTTGGAGGAGGGCAATTTAAGGTTGAGATGCAGCTGGGAAGCAAGCTCTGCAGGGCTGAAGATGGTGGGCTGTTCGGAGCTTGCAGCACCATGCCTTGGAGGTGAAGTTTTTCATAGATTATAGTAGTTTCTGGGCAGGGATTAGGAGGTTCCTTGAACAGGGCATGATTGAAAACTACAAGACGTTAGAAGGCCATCGTTCAAGGGGTTGGGAGACATTGACCGTGACAGGCAAGAGCAGTCAGGTCTGAAGTCCTTTGCTGGAACAAAGCCAAGGAAAGGAGAAGAGGATGGTGAGTTGTGCACATGGTTGTGAGGGCTTCCGGTGGGAGAGGAGGGTAGGCAGCATTGCCAAATGACTTGGAAGACCAAGGAGGAGACTTGGCCTCTTCTTTTTAGAGGCAGTGAATAAGGAGGCTTTGTGAGCCTGTATTTGTGTCCTTTTAAATTGGTGCATTGAATCTTGGTTTGAGGGTATTTAAGTGGGTTTTTTGGTATAGAACTCCTTTCCTGGACCTTGTTATAGTTTGGTGAAGTTTGCATTTGTAATCTCAAGGGAAAGTTATTGGAATTCTAATGAGTTAATTACAATTTACCACTTCCAGGGCAACCCATGGCACAAATGAAAACGCAAATACGCATCTAAAATGGTGGAGGTGTCAAGGGATCCTAGGTCCAGTCAGAGCAATGGCTAACTGGAAGAAAGCCCTCAATCCAGGGCTGAACCCAGTTTTTATTAATTCCTGAACAGAGGAGTGTCTGGGGAGAGTACTGAGAGAAAGGCAGGACCTATGTGAGTGCTGTGAGCTGGGCTAGCTGGGAGGCCTGAACTCACCTCTGCAATACACAGAGAAGCATATGCAAAAAAGTAATCTGTGTAGCTCAGGTGGGGTTAATACCTTGTGTCTTGGGGTTGGTGCTTCAGTTTTGGTGTATAATCTATCATGCCCTGGGATGTCATAACCTCTTTTCTTGAGGCTTGATCTCAGTTGACAGTGTGACATCTCTTGGCCTAGGTCATACTGGGTTATACCAGGTCATACTTCGAGTTACGGGTGGATATCACTGACCTGTCACATTACTTTAAAGAGTACACATCAACAACTTGGCCCGACCCATTGCATTGCTAAAAGCATTCCAGGAGATAAGGAAATATCCTAGCCAGCTTGGAACCTATGCAGACATCAAGGTAGGAATAATGATCTTGTTTCAAGGAGAACCATCAAAGTGGTCCACTACACCTGGCGAAGTTTTGGCCCTCATGAAACAGATTAGTTTCCTTAGGAAAAAGGCTTCCGAGAGCTCTCTCTTCCTTTCAACCATGTGAGGATACAATGAAGATAGCTATCTATGAGCTGGGAAATAGGTCCTCTTCAGACACTGAATCTGTGGGTGCCTTGATCTTGGATTTCCAGCATCCAGAACTGTCTGTGAGAAATAAATTTATGCTGCCTGAGTTAGGGTATTTAATTATAGCAGCCTGAAAGGACCAAGATAGTCAGATCAACCTAACTTCTAATCCTGGCTTTCAATTTGCATGGACTTGGAGAAGTCATTTCACTTAACTCTAAGTTTTTTTTTTTTTTCTTTACCTACAATACTTGTCTGTATATGAGGATGGAAAAAAGTGAGATTTGTTTGTATCAGTCAATTTTCCTGTTTGTGGGAAACAATACCCAATACTCACAATTCAAAGGAAGAGAGATTTAATTTGACTCATGTTCAGGGGATTTAGTCTACTCTTGGCTGTCTCCAAGGCTGAAACAGCTTGATTTCAGCCTTGGAGCCAAAGGGCATGGTGGCATGGTGGCATGGTGGCATGGTGGCATGGTGGGAGACAGCGGCTCATCTCATGGCAGAGGGGCAGCAGAGAGAGCAAGGAGGAAGTGTATCTTCCTCAGAGCCCCACACCCCAGCCACGCATCTGTTCCGCCCAGTGTCCATCTCCTACCAGCACGCGTGGCTATGGGCTGACGAGCACAGTACCTCATGAACCAGTCACCTTCCAAAAGCCCTATCATTGGACATATGAGGCTTTTAGGGGGACATTCCAGATCTAAACCATAACAGACTGTGAAGAATTTAGATTAGCCCCTGCCACACAGTGGACAAGCCACAAATTACACCTTTAGGAGATTTCAGGTCATCTGGTCTGACATACAGAAAAAGAGACAGACAAGGATAAAGAGATCCAGAGAGGTCACACAGTGGAGGACACTGGAAGAAACCACACAAGGCAGGAATGCAGGACAAGAGAGACTGTAGACTCCAGAACTTGCAAGGTGTCCAGCCAGGCCTCACATCGAGAATAAACGTGTGTGTGTGTGTGTGTGTGTGTGTGTGTGTGTGGTATGGAGGAGGTAGCCATATCTCTTTCCAGGTGACTAGTGTACCCAGGGACATGAAGTTTACTCTCTTAAGTGTGTGTGACATTTTAAGTAGCCAATGGAGCAAGTACTTTGTCCAAGCATTGCCCTCTTTCCTTTGTGGACAGGGCATGCAGGGCCCGTTTACCTCTCTGTTCTCCAAACTTGGATGTGGCAGCCCTCTGTATGACAATCACTTTACTCCATGGGTACAGCATTTACCTTCACATGCCTGATGTCTGTCATAGCACAGGTACTATGTGAACACTCATGAGGCCAGTGATGAACGAACCTTTGTCCACTGTGGTGAGGACAAGGTCTTCTATCTGCCTCTGCAGTTGGAGTGCGGTGTGGAGGGTTAGCAGTCAGGAGTTTGACAAATGAGGACTTGAATCCCAGCTCTAGAACTTTCTACTGCTGACCTTCACTTGAATCCCAGCTTTAGAACTTTCTACTGCTGACCTTCTCCCGTCTACTAACCTTTGCAGAGCCTCCAATTCTTTTGCCTATAATATATCTCTGCAATGCTAACACTGTGTCTGCCTAGTCTTTCAGTAATAAGGGGTGTTTTATATTAGCATCGTGCTGGGTATGGACACACACACGGGTTTTCCTTGTCTCCTTTGTTTACAGCTGAGTACCTTTTTGCCTTACGTTCTAGAAAATGATAGAAGGAAGCCCAAGAACTGAAGAAGACAGGCCCCTTGCTTCCCACCTTCAGGCCTCACTAATGCTCACTTGGTTGGGTGCTTCGGTGAGAGAAACCGTCCTGATTCCAATCCTGAGGTGCCTTCAAGCAGGGCAGCCAGGTCAAGGCTTGCCACAAATAGACCTGGTGTTTTGGGGTACTCACCGCCAGCAGGAGAAACCCTCTGCGTGGAAATTACTTTAATTTGCTGTTGACAAAAGGAAAATTGCTGGCATTTTCGCTTGGAGCCTGGAATGTAACCTTGTGAGGCTGCCCCAGACATTCCAGGGGGCAGCTTGCATTAGTCGGCCCAGATTTCTAGCTGTAAAGGAGGAAGAAAGGAACTTCAGTAAACTCTCAGCCAGTATTTAGTACCACCACCTCTTATCACTTAACATTCCCCGCTGCCCTTGTCGGCAGTTAGAGCAGAGTCCTTGTGGACGGCCCAGCACGCGGTCCGTTTTTCTTTGCTTAACCTTCAATCCTGTGTTGTGCAGGCTTGCAGTTGTCTGCAGGACTGCTATGTCTAGTTGGAGGAAAGACGCCTCGTCAGAATCTGCCACTATTTTGTTCATGTGGGAATGGCTCTGAGGTCACACGAAGCCCTCTGCATTATTCCTTTGCAGTAAGCTTGGGATCCAGCAAGGTTTTGGTACCTGTCTGTTGCAGGAATGAATGAATCGATGGATGGTTTCCCATTTTTCACAAGGCCAGAGTGTTTTCTGTCTGTCTAGTCAGACTTCCAGAGCATCCAGAAGAAAGGGCATAATTTAACTGCGGTGCTGGTCACCTTCCACTTAAAATATGTCCCCAAAATGCCTGTCTGGGGTGGGGTTCCCTGGAATGCACCCTGAATGGAATGCTTTTCAGCCAAGTGAGAACCTGAGGCCACTGCTGCCATCCTGTGGACAGTATTCAACACACAAGGCAAGTGACACTTGCCTTTCTCTGGAAGAAATCTTGGCTGAGGATGTATGAAGAAATATTTGCCTTTGCAATGCTTGAGGGTTTGTCCAAAAACCACCCTTCTGTTCTGCTGTTCAGTTAGTAATAATAATAATAATAGAAAACCACATTTATTGAGTTTTTTATTATATCTGAATAAGAGAATTGAGGTATAACCCCAGCCTCTCTGTTAGCACCCAGCTCTTGATCATTATATTGCTCTTTTTTTTCTATTTTAGTTGCATCGTTCCTTTACCTTCCTGGTCATTGTATGGTTCAAAGCTACTGAGTACAGAGATTCCTTCCTTCCTTCCTCCCTTCCTTCCTTCCTTCCTTCCTTCCTTCCTTTTCCTCCCTTCCTTCCTTCTGTTTTTCTTGTGTAGTGCTGGGGATCAAACCTATGGTGTCACATGTGCTAGCAGAGCACCCCACCACTGAGCCCCACCCCCAGCCCCTGAAACACTGATGCCACCCATCTGTGTGCACCAACTATGCACGTGGCAATGGACTCAAGGAGATTATAAACATCTGCCAAACAGGTTTAGGTATCTGCAGTGTGTGTGTGCCAGGGATGTGTAAAGTCACGGGAGACGTGCACAATATGTATTGTAACTGAAGACTGACAAAATGGTGAATGGAGAGATTAATGATTTTGCAGAACCTTTATTTTTATGTGAACCAGCTTCCCAGTACCACTCAGGTGAACTGTAACCATTGCTACGTTTACATCTATACACATTTCCAGAGTTGCCCATGCCTCTAGCTGGCAGAGGGGAGCAATAACCTTTCCTCAGGGCGGAGGGCACACAGTGTCACCCATGTGCCATAGGGCTGATATTTTGAGTCGGATTGTCCCAATCCAACTCAACATCGTTTGCATTTGCTAAAATCTTATACGTGGGTTTCATTCTTTGTAGTACTAGACAGAAGCAAGAGGTGATGAAAATAAAAAGCTTGTGAAATGGAAAACAAAGTTATAATAAAAAAGTTACAATCATTTTATTAAGACATTCAAAGAGCTTTAAACAGCTAGACCCTTTGGAATTTAAGTTTGTTTCTCTATGTATGAGAGAACGTTTGAGTAACAGTTCCCAAAGTGCCCATGTGTCAGTCTTTTATAGGAAGACAGTGTCACATAGAATGACTGAACTCAGGACAGCTTTGCTTTATTCAGGAACCCAGTATGACACACTCATCAACAAGCAGGGACAAGGCCATATGCTCAAGGACACGGAGATAGAAGGAAAGAGAGTCTGCTCTCATCAGGGGTGGTAGATTTCCCAGTTCTGGGTACCAGCACTGCCTGGACCAGAAATAGTAACTAGAGGGGCTGCAGACAAATGGCGAGACAGAAGTTAAGGAGAGGTAGGGAGACAGCAAGAAAGAACTAGAGGGGGAAGAGCAAAATACAGAGACTCCGAGGAAGCGGTAGAGCTGACTCCCAAGCACGTCTCAGGACCCTCGAGAGGTCCCCAGAGGGCTGGCTCAGCTCTCGGGGACTTTCAGACACGCCTGGCAGCAGCTTATCTCCCACAACCTTCCCAAAGCTGCCCCAGAGTGAGTTCTCGGAATTACCGCGGCGATGTCTGACCAGCTGTCCCCGTCTCTGGTACTGGCATCTTGGTTCTGATGTCAAGAGTGCTGTTGAGAAAGTAGTGGCACTAGGATTAGCATTTCTGAATTACCACACTGTCCCAGGTGGTAGGCTTTGGGACAGCACACTGGGGCTTGCACCCGGGTCTGGAGTCAGAATGGGGTGTGAAGGGGAACAAGCCAAGTGAGACCCAACTTCTGAAATAGGATGACAGTCAGAGGACGGCAGGGGGTGAGGCCTGGGCTCTGTCTACGGCCCACTTTTGCTCGAGGGGCTGGCTTCCTTCCAGTGCAGTCCCTAAATGCTGTTCCCAACTGCAGCTAGAGCTCAAGGGACAGCCCCAGTCAGCAGCAAGGGAATGAAGACAGCAAAGCTTTGATCTGTTCACCACAAGATCAAAATTAAAATCTAGTGGAAAGGAATCACATTTGGGAAAGAGTGTAAAAGCTGTACCCCTCACAGTCGGCACCTGCCAGCCACGCCAGTGTAAACCTTCAAAGGGCTGCGCACGTCGACTTTATGCTCTTTTATTTTTAAAATGTTATAAGAGGCACTTCTGCACGATACAAAAAATAGCGACGTCAGTACCAGCTAGCACTGATTGTGGATTAGCAACTGTAGACGCCCTACTCACATCGTGAAGAAACATTCTTCTTATCATTTTTTGGTCAAAGAAATAACTGCTTCTTTCTGAGAACGTGTATGCTTTTATCAGAATAAATGCAACCATAGAATAATTTTCTTTTTATGTTAGTTTCCTGAAATATCCGAGTCATTTTTTAAACCTAACTCTGTAATTATATTGACTCTAGGAATGGACATGTTACCTTTTCTTCTCTTATCCTTTTTTTTAACCTTGTTTTATCTATATTTTATGGTTTGATTCTGGTGTGTGTGTGTGTGTGAACTCAAAGCACTCTCTCTCTTCTTTGTAAAAAGAATACAAAAATTGGTACAGCTTTATGGCAGGCTGGTAGGCTTCATGTGGTGGCCAGAGACTCTTACTTTGACCTGTGGTAAGTGCATTAATGGCTCTTTAGGAGAAATCACATTTTTAGGTGCAAGACTGCAAGTACATGCATGGCTTTGAGGGGTGTTATAGAGGGTTTCTCTGCCTCTGCAGGCGCAGTGGGGAGACTCTTGTCCCCACAGGATGTCCTCAGCAGAGATCCACAGCAGCAGTTCTGCCTACAGCTGCGCTTGAGTCCTGCAATAGGTGTTGGGGAGAGGCCTACAGGGACGGAGAGAGGCTAAGGAGAGGCCGTCGGGTTGGCCTAGACCCTCTCAGACTCTGCTGGGGGTGCTGTGTCAACGGGTTTTACATTTTAAAGAAACAATTGGCAATATGACTCCATGGTATTAAACTGTTCATATCCTTTGACTGAGGCATTTCCCTTCTGAGGATTTAATTTAAGAATAATAAGAAATTAATACACTCATTAGCTGCTCAGTCTCATGTATAAGGCTGAGTGAACTAAACAAAAATCCCTTTTTTATGATGTTTAGAGTTTAATGGATTCGAAGGCCCCAAAACATAAGCAAAGGTCTTTGTCCATGGATATTCAAAGCAGCACTGTAAACAGTAAAGAATTGGAAACATATGTCCACTGCCAGGGGGTTAAATTATAGTAGGTCAATATGATGGGATTATTACTGGGGGTGTTTTAGTGACAAAGTTTCTCTGTGTTACCCAAGCCAGCCTGAAACTTATGATCTTCCTGCCTTGGTCTCTTGAGTAGCTGGGGTTACAGGTACACAGCACCAAGGCCAGCTTGTTTTCAAAGATTCTTCTTCTTTGTCTTTGTCTTCGTGTGTGTCTGCATCAGTGTCTGCTTCTACTCCTCCTCTTCCTCTGCCCCTGCTCCTCCTCCTCCGTCTCTGGGTACTGAAGTGCACTGAACAACATCCCCAGCCCCTTTCTGTGTTATTTTGAGACAGGTTCTAAGTCACTAAATATCCTAGGGTGGGCTTGAACTTGTGATCTTCTGCCTCATCCTCCCAGAGCTCCAGGGTTAAAGTCATGTATCACCATGGTTGGCCAATTTTAAAACTTAAAGGCAACAAGAAGGACAAGCAGTGGGTAATTCCCTGAAAATGTGCTCAGGCTTTCTATTCTGTGGATGTAGGGAGGACACTGTCCCAGATTTTCCTGACTAAAGCATTACTCCTAGAATTTCCCTGCAGAACCTAAATGAGCCCACTAAGGGCTTGTACAGTACTCAGTGCCTGAGTAAGTGGAGCCAGGCACACGTGGAATTGATATGTCAAGGCAATAGGCTTTGCTTTGGAAGTCCTGCCCCTCACCCCATTCACTGAGACAAATGTGATACAGGATTGATCGAAATAAATGTAAATTATGCTAAAAGTAAAACTATAGTCTTTTGGGGAAAAGGAGATCCTCATTAAGTATTTAATTTAATCTGGTCTTTATGTATTTGGCCCTTTAGTTTGATTTTTGTAATATTTCATCTGGCCCGGATCATTCGGGCAGGCCCTCAGGATGTGGGATTGGCTGATCAGAGTGGCTTTGGAGTCAGATTGTCGAGGTCCAAATCCAGGCTCCACCACTAAATTGCTCTGAAATTTTGGGTTGGTTACTTAACTTCGCTGAGGCTTCCTCATATGTCAATACAGAAATAAAATTAAATTAAGCCACGTACACTGAAGTTGCCGGAGGCACGACTCCTCTGTGACTCTCCTTCCATGTGTGTGCTCGGAGCCATCCCACCCTTCTCTGCCTCCTTCTGAACTGCAAAGGGCAAACAGCTTCTCAGACTTAATTTGGTGAACAGGAGACCTGCCAGGAGGGTTAGGGTTAGGGAGGGAGGGAATAAGCAGGGCTTGGGCACTGTTGCAAGCTTCTGAAATCTCTGTTCCCATTGGGCAGCCTACCACTGCCTCTGAGGCTTTCTCTGTAGGTACTTTTTATTTTTGTTTTTTTAAAGTACTGGGGATTGAGCCCAGGGCCTTTGTACCGAGCAGCAGCCCCTGCCTATTTTTATTATTATTATTATTATTATTATTGTTATTATTATTATTATGAGACAGAGTCTCGCTAAGTTGTTAAGTTGCCCAGCCTGGCCTCAAACTTGTGATCCTCCTGCTTCAGCCTCCTAGAGTGCTGGAATTAAAGGTATGCACCACCATGCCCAGCTAAGAGGAGATGCCTTTTATAATCAATTCCTTCTGTTGAAATGCCTGGTAGA